AAACCAGGGGCTCAAGTGAAAAGTGGGTGTCGTAAGAATGATGAAGTCAACATATGTACTAAAGTGCTGGACACAAATGACGTATGTACAGATTGTGATGAGTTGTATGAGCCTCTAATAAAATGATTATTTAAAAAAATACACTGTCAAAAAGCAAAGCTATATAACGTTTTCCATTTGGTATCACAATGCCAAGAAATACTCCCCTGCTTATCTGGAAGCTATATTACTTATTATGTGTCTACAGAGTCTTTCAGGTTATATTCACCTTTGCAAGCTGACCAGAATTTTACATATTTGAATGCTTATGATTCTGAAAACTTACTTCATTTGTATAAATGTTTATTGAGCACCAAGTAATAATGGCCATCCCTAAGTATATGTCAAGAGATATAAAAGTAGTGACACAAAACTATATGCACATCTATGTTCATTGTAGCATTACTCACGACAGCAGAAAAGATGGAAATTTCCTAAATGTCCACCAATAAATGAATGGATAAACAAATTGTGGTATATATGAGGGGACTTCAAAGAGTTTGTGGAAAAATATAATTAAGAGATAATGGAATTTCCCCACAAACTTTTTCAAATCCCCTCATATGTGAATAGGAAGGCACATATGAGTAATACACCCGCATGTAAAAGTTTATCTTTGGGCAGATGTATGTGCATGTTTGCGTGTGCTGCATGTATACCCAAATACATACTGAATCACCTGGTGGGCACAGTTACAGAGAATTCTTAGAAATATCCAAACAACTCACAGGATTAGTCTACTGAGTTAAAAGGCTTGGTACTACAGTCTCATAGGACAACTTAATCAATTGCATAACAGTTCATAAGGAGAGTGTTCTACATCTAGTTTGGTGAACAGTTTCTAGGGTATTGAAATCTTGCAAGTGGCCATCTAAAATACAAATATTTTCCTCTACTTCTCTGGAACAAAGGAAAGTGAGGTAATCTAAAGTCTCAAGAAAGTAGTCCACAGGACTACTGGTTCACACAAACCAGGGCTTCTTGTAACCAGAGGCCAGAAGAGCTGGGTGGTGTCCAGCTACCATTGCCAACCATTTTGACTAGGGACACAATCAATGGTCCTAGATAGAATGGGAGAGAAATGTAAACCAAAATACAAATTCCTTAAAAAGGACAGAGTGCTGGGCCGAGGGAGACTGGACGAACCCGTGAGATTGTCACTTGAGATATCCCTTGAACTTGGAATTGAAGCGATATCTGAAGGACACCTTTCAGGCAAATTATTAACTGGTTTATAACCCCCATGAATAATGTGCAGCAATATGATCTATATGGTCAACAATTGCCCCAAAGAAAGGATGAGAAGACAAGAAGGGGCAGCTAGATCAATGGGAAAAAACCAGAGAACAGAAATGATTTTAATGTTGGGATATTGGGAAAACTGTGATCCAAGTAGGAATGATTTGCATGAAACTGATTAAATGAGAATCTAATTTGTTGTGTGGACTTTCATATAACGCACTATAAAATATTTTGATGATAATAGTTAATGATTATGTACCAGTTTCCATGAATGTGATAACAATTACTCATAGGCTTATGAAAATAAGAAGTATTCTAATGCCAGTAAATTTTAAAATTCAGTATATATAATCTAGTTTCATTTGTAAATGATCAAAACATTTGGTAAATGAAACTCTCTTAATATTAATTAACTGCTATAGATAAAAAAACATCTGAACGAGAAGTCTCCATTCAGACTTCTAGGCTACACCTGCTTGTATCCACCAAGCAGATCGATGTAAAATCTCTCTGGTTACAATAGCAACTCTACATTAAGGATTTGGGGCTCTGGGTACCATAGAACTACCATCTCTCTAAGTAATATTGTATACTATTTAGCTTCTTAATTAAGTTTAATGACCTTTAAAAGTGTAACTGTAAGTTTTAGTTGTCTAGGTCTTTTACAGTACTGAGCGATGTACACATCTGAGCGATGTTGCAGGCACTCTGGTGCTGTAGTAGTGATGCATCGAGCTGCTAATTCCAAAGTTGCCAGTTCAAAACACCAGCCGCTCCAGGAGAAAGATGTGGCTTTCCACACCCATAAAGAGTTACAGTCTGGAAAATGCACAGGAGCAGTTAGTTCGACCTGCTCTGTAGGGTCGCTCTGAGTCAGAATCTATTCAATGACAATAAGTTTTCGGAGTCAGAACTGTATTAAATGCTTGTTTATTTAGAAGGCAGATGATATGAAAATAATTAGGATAAAATTGTAGTTTAAAACAAGAAAATGATTTAGGATATTTTCATTAAATTCAGATTCTACTGTTATTTTGATGTGACTTCACATACTTTTATTTCAGTTTTTCATTCATTAAAATGGGGAAATGACACATAACATGATGGTATCGCCTGGCAGTTGGCAATCCTGGCACTTCATAGCTGAATGTCATTTCAGTTCTATTAAAATATCAGAATTAAAATGATATATTTAAAAAATAAGAGTTTTAAAAATATATTACTTACCTGATCTGTATTTAGCTTCTCCACTTTTCTTATTGTTTTTTCATAAATAACATTGTTTCCTGGGAAGAAATTACTTCCTCTTGTGAACGATGACACTGGTTCCTATAAAGACAGTATTTTTCTTTGAAAGGTATATTTTTAGTAGAACCTTAATTTAAGCAAGCATCCAGTCTTCAATATAGGCAGGGAAATAATAATGAACAGTTTATATTCTCAAATAGGACAATATGCATCCCCCTACTACATTTTACTTGGGGGCGGGGGCAGATTGGAAGAGTGTGGGCAGGATAATCTTTTCGTCTCCTTAGAAGGGCAAAATATGAGTTTTGTCTGAGGTAGAGAGGCATGAGATCAACCTGACTTAAATTGGTCCCATTGATAGGTTTTGTTCTATGCAAAATATTACTTTAAAAATGCAAAATAAGCATAACTCAGCAGCACTGAGCCATAAAATAGGTAAAACTATATGAATGCCCCATCCCCCGCCCTGAAACTCAAATTGAGTGTCCCTGAAGTATACAGTCCAATTTGAGGTTATAATTAAGGCAAAGACTCAGTACTATACATGTTTTCAAGGAGAACAGAGAATAAAGTAGATGCTTTAAGAGTCATTGTATCTCCATTTAATCAACTGAAGTGTTGCAAGTATAACCAAATACTTAGAAAAGATGCAAGAAACTCTTGAACCCAAATCCAGTTATCTTGTGTTCACATTTTAATAAAGGTGGATTAACTAAATGTTCTTATGGTGCTTTTGTAAAACAAACAAGTAAATAACTATAAGGAGTACTGGTATACAGTGGTTACTTTCTTGGCTGCTAATCGAAAGGTCAGCAGTCGAATCCACCAGCTGCTTCATTGTAGAGAGATGTGTCAGTCTGTTTCATAAACATTATAGTTTTGCAAACCCTATGGGGCATTTTAACTCTGTCCTATAGATTTACTATGGATTAGAATGGACTAAACAGTGATAAATTTGTTTTTTTAAGCAACACTTATTTAGCTAAACGATGAATTATTAAATCTAAGTATTTAGAAAAATCCCCTTAGATGCTATTTGTTTGTTTATGTAAAAAAGAGTCATTGGTAGTTCTTCTGAATCATTTTACAGATGTTTAAGGGTTTATTATGCACAAAGTATTCTGCTAAATGTTACTAGACTTACAAACACGAACCAGACCTAGATCTTACTAGAAGCATTTGATATTAATCAAAAGTCAGCAATTATGGCCAGAAGCCTGTTTTTGGTATGATTATGAATATGATTAAGCAAAACTATGTATTTATTTATTCTCTATCCTTTTATTTTTAAAAAGCCCGTTTCCAATCTAGATAACATAGGAATATAAACACCTATAGAACAACCTGGGAAGTGATATGTGCTATAAGTTTTGGTTAAATAATTGCAAAACCTTCATCCACATAACATCAAATTCAATAGTTCAATCACATCAAGAAGAGTTGTACAATCATTATCACCATCCATATTAGAATGTGTTAGTCATGTAATTATTTTTTAATTGTTGCAAAACATACACAACAAAACAAAGGTGGGGGGAGCTGATAGCAAGGGCTCAAATAGAGAATGATGGCAACGTATGTTGTATATACCGTCCTCCATTCATTGTTTACTCCCCAGTTCCCTTCACACTCCCCACCTCATCTTCCCCGATAAACCATTGCAACAATTATTGCCTCTATGCATCCATGCCTTCTGTGCTTCATAAACAAGCAATAAAAACAAAAACAAAATGAAACAGAAAGAAGAAAATAATAATGATATAAAGATAAAAATAAAGAGTATGAAAGAAGAGACCACTAACAATATTTTAAAAGCTGGAGAAGAAATTTCTGTCATGGAACAAGCGAGAAATATTTGAGCCTAGAGCAAATTCAGATTGGATCAAGAGAGTAGTCAACTGACCAACTATCAGGTTATACCATGGTTCCATCCACCACAACCAAGTTTACAACAATCTCTGTCTGATAATGAAGCTGTCCCAGTAGCCTGTGGCTACAGGGCATCTGCCAGAGGTTTAATCTGACTAAATACTCTGTAGATGGATTTTGAGCTCCCACAGTGTTCCATAACCTTCTCCAAATTGGGTGTTCACAATTTAAGCTCTGATACTTTTCCCTTCATCGTATTTGGATTTTGTTATCATCTAACGATGCTCTTTATATAAACAGAACACGCTAATGGAACATTCTGGTATAAATATCTAGCGCACAGTTTGAAACAGATCTGGAACTGAGTAGAAAATTCAAGGCTGCAGATCTAGATCTCTAATTAAAACCATGCAATCACTGAAAAAGCAGAACCAGAGATAAAACTGGACAAATCTTAACAGGTATGAGAATAAAAAAGGCAAAGTGTCATAGAAATAAAGAAAGAAGAGAAAAGTTTAGGCAGTAATAGGAAGTTAAAGACATAAAATGGTTTGGAAAAGTCAAAATACAAATTAAAAAGTGGATTGGATTTGGACTACTACAAATTTATTGGATTCGAGTACTAAGAGCTATGGAGGCAGGTCTGACGGAAGTTGGTGGGGGAGATGGGGTCATGCAACATGGATTTAGTTGTGCCTCCATCATCTCCTTGCTTTGTGAACTTAAGTAAGCCATTTAACTTCTCTGAGATAGTTATGCAAGGTGTTGTATATGCAATAAAATTAATAATTGTCCCTAATCTGTCATTTATAATGTATAAATGACACTAGCTTATTAAATTATTTAAAAACTATACTTTCTTTAAAACTATTTATGAGAATCGTGTTAGAATTTGTCTATGGTGTTATTGTATAACAATATACAATAACAGGCTTACTGAGGGCAAAATGTTTAACCATCCTGAATCTCCACAAGTAAATGAGATACTTGAGTACAAAAGGATAATTTGAACCCATATCTTAAAAATATATACAAGGGTCCTCTTAAAAAAAACAAGAAACAACAAAAATCCTACTGTCATCGATTTAATTCTGACTTATAGTAATCTTAATATGGCATTTCTGACACTGTAAATCTTTAAGGGAACAAACAGTCTCATTTTTCTTCCTGGTAGGGGTTGGTGGGTTTTGAACCACTGACCTAGTGATTAGCACCACGAGGACTCCTTAGAGGAGAAAAGCCATTTAGAAAAAGTATGAAATTTTATTCTTTTTGAGACAGTTTATTATAATTGCTGAACTATTATTATTTATGTAGGAAGAAAAAAATGACTGAAATACTAAAAATGTTGTGATTGAAAATACCCTCAGTTGTTTTATTTTTCCCCTCTAGCATGTGTACAATTTAGATTTATAATCTGAAATGACTTACTGAGAGAAAAGTTTGAATGTATCTTTTAAAAAAGTGAAACCAAATATGAGTAAATCATTCTGAATAAAAATGGGCCACCAGAAAAATTTAGTCAGAAGTTGTAGATTTCTAAACAAGTAAACTGCAAGGCAATTTTACTATTTTGGCAGCTTCTTCTTCTTCTTTTTTTTTTTTACAGTATGTACATTTCAATTTGTGCCAGAGTTAAGCTAAAAATTAACAGGTGTTTCCAAAGTTAACAGATCTTATCATTTTAATTGTTAGTGTTAGAACCCCTGGCAGGAGTTCTAACATCTCACAAAGTATATCATACCCACTATTCCCAGGCCACAAGCTTTGCTGGAGAACGTTAAAAGAAACAGAACGGATTTGATTTGGCTCAATACAAAAACATGATATCGAACTTCAAAGGGACCTCCCACAGGCATGGGTGTATTTGCACTCATCAAATTCTCTACAACAGTGGTTGAACATCTTTTTAACTTTCCAGGACCCCCTAAGCTCATGTCCCTTCACTCACTGAGGAAGTAAAGGTAGCCTGTTCTATGATTTCTGTCGGTTTTCTTCCACACCGCAACCGTTTTCTCTAGTTTCTATTCCTTACAACACGTTGTGGTAAAATGCACTTCTCTTTTTTTTCTGAATTAAACTTCGATATGTGTACCTCGCATCCCACTCTCCCTCTTTCTATATCTTATTCCATTTATCACCTTTCTCTGCTGTTTTCCGTATTATTGGTTCTTTCCCTCTGACTATAGCTCTCTCGGGATTCCAAGATGCAGATTTCTCCTGTAACTGTCATTTCTTTTCTTCGTCATCGACCAATGCACTTTTCGAATAATCTGCACTCATTACTTCCACTGACCCAGTAATCCCTTTCATCTGGATTTTACCGCCATAAACATACTGAAACAGCTCTCTCAGATATGATCACTGATATATTAATAAGCAATTTATTCTAAAATGTTTTTCTATTTACTTCAATGACTCTATGTTCACATGCTACTTTGAACGCACTGCTTCCTATGAAAATAGGTTCTTCCTTCTACTGCCTTAAACAAGGAATTTCTCAAAGTCATAACCTCAACTTGCTTCATTACCTCTCAGTGATCTCACTCATTTCCACAGCTTAAATGATGACTTTTAAAGGAATAACTTCTATGTCTCTATGTCAAATGTAAAACTTTAGTTCTCTCAGTTATTTAAAAGTGGTGTTTATTTTTAATCTTCCCTTGTGTGCACCTTCACTGCTACTGGTTCTAATAGATCTCACAAAACCCCCTTTCTCAGGCCAGATCCTGCATCACCATTTCTTAATCATTTAATGACTCTAGGGTTCCAGGCTGAAAACAAACAAACAAACAAACAAACAAACAACTTGTGTTATATTTGAGTCTTCTTCTTTTAATTCCCATGTCCGGTAAATTAACACATCTTGTCAAAATACTCTCTCGAAATAGCTCTCAAAACATAGGAAGTGGTGAGTTTGGAGTCGATGAAAGCGTTTCCCAACAGCACACTTCCACCTCACTTGTCTTGGACAAGTCATCTGGAGGGATCAATCGTTAAAGGAGAACATCACCTGTGGTAAAGTAGGAGGCCAGTGGAGGCACTGAGGCTGGATCGCCACAATAAGTGCAATGAGGTGCTCAAACCGTCTGGCAACGTTGAGAATGGTGCAAGACCACCTAATGTTTCGCTGTACAGAAGGTTGTCATGAGTTGGAGCTGGCCCTTCATCAGTTAGCATCATGTCATCATCATTTGTAGATGTCTTCTCTC